TTGTCAGCGCGGGTTATTTTATGCATTTGAATATTTTTCAACAGAAATCGCCAATCTTTTCACGAGTTCCTGTTGGTATTGCGAAATGGTATTTTGTTGAAGCGTTGAAGATTTGCGCCCATCGCGGCTCTGTGACCGCTTTCCGTATCCAGTTCGGGATGCTATTTCGCGTCGCGTCGCCCTCGTCGTGCTGTGAGTCATTGCACGCCGACATACACAGTGAAGGAGAGCGAGAGAGGTGGTTGGGATAGTAAGTGAACTGAATACAATGGGCCTAACACGGGTCGCGCCATATTGATCGCTGATCGTCGAGATTTGGTGAGCGCTGAAATTGAGAGCCGTGTTATCGAGTTCATCCAAAGGTGTGGGTTGCAAATTGCTGGAAATGCATGGCTGCCTCACGAATTAGCTCACACTGCCATAAATTTGGATGGATGTGCGGTTTTAATGAGATGGGATGGGATAACGCGCTTGGTGGCCTAATAGGAATCGAACCGCAGTTTCTTGTGGGGCCGGGATCAGTGATTCTTTCAAATCCGAGGGACGCTTTCGGCTTTCGGAGGTAATTCAGCATCTCTTTATCAGAAAGTCCAGAAAAATAAGGAGGAACAGATTTGGGCGCGGTTCTGTAATTATCTGCAGTTGCTAAATGTCACGCGTTTAATTTCATCCTTTCTCGCACAAATAGCAGAAATCACCCTCTTCGCTCCCGCAAGTTTCAGTTTCTATCCATTTTTTGCACAAGCTGGTCCAGCCGTCTTCCGCCTCCTCACTAGAGTTTTCCTCCCTCTCTGTGGTCAGCCAGTTCTTTCACGTACCTTGCCCAGAATCGTTTCTCCACTCACCCCCCCCCCTTCCCCACCAAATGACATTCGGCACTGAACTAGATTATTTGTAACTTTCAAACAGCCATGGTTATCATGAAGACCCAGTATGTTAGGTGAGTAACAGAGTAGCAATCACTGGTAAGTAACGAGTAACATACCGACAAATATCAAATTAATGCTTGCTGGTCTTCTTCCAGTATCGTCCGTAGCTTCTTTTGGGAAAGCCGCGTAGCTAGCGGAACTCCCTTCTATTCGCTCCGTATCTTGGCGGATGCTGATCTGCCAGCAGTGCTAGTCTCTTTGTGCTCCCTACTGTTCCTTCTAGACCTTTGCCGGGTTACCAATAGACGGAGTGAACCTGAGCAGCAGACGTTAAAGAGCATTCATACTCCACGACACGGGAGAGGGGAATGGGAGTTGAGGGGTTTGGTGGAATCAATCGATTTTGCCCGCTGCGAATGGAGAGAATCAGAAAATGGAGGAATGCGCGTCAATGGGTTAATCGGGAATCGATCGACTCCACCCATCATTCATTAGATTGTTCCGATAATGCGTTGCGCTGGACCCGAATTCCTCGACGCCTATCGGTATGTTTCCCATATTCTGTTTTTTCGAATGGTGATTACGCTTATTGTCTACCCTTTGCACCAATGTTTCTGCGGGTGCTGCGTCGAGTGGTCTGTAATGTTGACTAATGTATGAGACGCTGTCTTGCTTGCTCGATGAGATTCGCGCTCAAAGTACCCGCAAACGAACGTATCGAGCGTTTCCATAGCGAGAGGTGATGGTGGCGTTATTACCAGGTTATCCTTGCGCCTCCATTCGTTTGCTCAGTCTGTGACTGTGAGATAAACGCAGAATATGAATGATGTAGCATGTAGCGGCTTACTATAAAAATGGAACTACATATTTTCAAAACTTCACATTCTCCACGAAGTGGCCCAACACCTTCGAGGGGCTTTTTGAAAATGCCTCCCCGAAGTCAAACTGTCGCGCATTTTTAGTAGTGAGGGCGTACTTGAGGAGAACCGAAAACCGAGGTGAACGTAAACTTCTTGAATATCTGTACACGTACCGCGCGCTGACAGAACTGGGCTCGCCGGAGTTTCTAGTCCCAGTCGTAAGATGGGCTCGCCGGAGTTTCTAGTCCCAGTCGTAAGATGGTGTCGCCAGTCAGATGTACAGAAACATGCATTTTCTGACTTTTAGATCGATTTTAGCCCAGAATGCCGAAATGATAGATGCGGTGCGGATACATCAGCCTATGCATTTAAAATAATCTGGCTTTGAAAGCTGGATGTATCGTTAGCCTTGGACTATTTAGACTCAGAGCTTGACATGGGGATGAAGAGAGGGCTTTCTTCAATGTGACCCCTACAGTCGCAGCTAAACTGCGATCCCCTCCCTCTTGCCGTTCAAGCGTATTTTGCGACTTGCTGGCTGGCTGAACGTCTGGTTGCCTGTCGTTGTCATTCGACAGATATAGAGGAGAGTCGCAGTAAGGGACCGGTCGTGCCCTAACTGATGGTGCCTTGTACATGGCATGAAACTTATGGCATGTAATCTTCGTGCGGACTCTTAATTTTCACTCGCAGCTGCTTGTGATTCAAGCTTCCAGCACATTTTATAGGAATTTCCGATGGTACAGTGTAGTTTAAACCGGTTCCAGTTGATTCACTTGTCTCGCTGTTGCATTGATTGCATGTGATAGTTTTTATCGACTTTCTTACTTCAGCTCATGCCGTCACAATAAGGACTTCCCCGTATCCAGTCTGTACTCAGTATTGAAGAGGAGTCAGGTGTTGAGTATGCTTGGCCTTTCACATAGTGCATGTAGCTAGTGCGCTGCTTGTCCTGTCGTTATAGACTCTCAGAAATGCCAGTTGTTCCGACGCTGAACGGGTCTGAAAGCGTGGTTTTTGTGGCGAATATGCGCTGGCATGCCCAACACCCACTTATAACAGATAAGAGTTTATTGGGCAAAATTAGCGCGTTGCAAAGGCAAACGCTCTCAAGTTTTAGGGCTTGCAATGTTTGTTGTTCTTTGCGGGAGCTTCATGATATCTTTTTGTAACTGAGTCCTTCCGTTACAGTTCCCGAATTTTGTTAACACGTTCGAGGCGGCGTGTACTCCCGGGAGTACACGCGGAAACCCCTGTTTTCGGTCATTCGTACAGTTCTGCGAAAACACGCGCATATTTTTTTTATTCTTTTTGCGAGTGATTATATTCTATTAGCATACATTTACACAATCAACACATCAGCACGAAGAAAAAATTGCTAAAATAAAGTCTTAAAAAACAACAACGAATGTGAGGTTCTGGGCGAATATGGCCTTCGCCTTCGCATTTGTAAGAAACGATAAGGGTCTCTATCATTTAACTCCAAGAGAACCCACCTTTTTAAAATTTCGGCCACCTTGAAGTTAGATTCTGCCCGGAATTTTAGCGTAGTTTGAGCCTTTGAACATGAGCATTGCATTCGTTCAGCGCGAAAACGGCTGATGCCGGTGCCTGTGAACCGCGAAGAGCGCTTCCGCTCCATGAGGCTAGTGCTCGTGAGAAGATCAGACTGCGCCCATCGACAAGTTTAAGCAGTTAAACTACCCTGGAGAACAAATTTCAGCTGAATTTAGTCTAGAAAGTGTCACTAAAGAAGTGGCTTTAATTTCGAGAACTGGGGTAGAAAGGGTGAATAGTGTAGGAGAATCTGCACCTGCTTCGCGACCTGGTCTATCCGTTACATCACCGGAGCCACTTTCCCCTTTTCAACATAGTGGCTTTCGTACCATAGCTTATGCAACACCCATAAGTGTGACTTTTGCATTTTCATTTCTTATTTGCCAAGTCAACATCGGCGGTAGTTCTGAGTCTCACGATAATAGCTTCCTGATCGATCGAGATCGATATTTTCCTCTGAATCACGAGTTAACTGGTTGCGAAAGAGAACTATGCATCAGTTGTATCACCTGTGTTAGCCGTAGTTTGGCAAAAGTTCAAATTTTGTCGTCCCATTATGGATTATTTCAGTTGTGCTGATCGGCGATTCTGGAGTAGGAAAATCTAATTTGCTGTCACGGTTCACCCGCAATGAATTTAATCTCGAATCGAAATCTACCATAGGTGTGGAATTCGCTACTCGTAGTATTCAGGTAATTTTTACGATTCCTTTTCTCCTTCGAAGAGTCTTTATGGCTCTACTTCCGTCAATTTCACCTTTACCCTTTCGGCCCTTTTTAATTCCTAGCTTTTCAGGTTGAGGGCAAAACTGTGAAGGCTCAGATTTGGGATACTGCGGGTCAAGAACGGTACAGAGCAATCACATCGGCGTACTATCGTGGAGCTGTTGGCGCTCTGTTAGTTTATGATATAGGTGCGGTTTGTTATAGAATTACTTGTGAAGTGAACGCTTGGTCTACTGGTACTTGTTTGTTGTGGTGGAAGAGCAGGCAGAGCGATCCGTGGTTAAAACTTCTCAACCATGAGATACGTATTGGAGTCATCGGGGAAGGAGTCTCCTATCTGAACTGACGTTCTTATTAGAGTGCGTTCACACTTTGTGGCAGCGCTTTGAGCGCTTTCGACTCAAAAAGTATAAGTATCTATTATCGCTGAAATCGCCGGTGGGCGCTCAAAACGCGTGTGAACGCACTCTTGGGGATTCATTAGAGGCAGAGGTATGAATTGGGGAGCAGATTTTTCACTCCCCACTTGAAGTGTTTTCTGAGGAATTTAGTGGAACGGGCGGAAGGGGTGTGAATTAGATGATTGGAGGACATGCCAGGGGTATTCTGCTAGAAGCAGAGGTGGAGGGGAACAAGCTGAATATACCGTTACAGCGTGGCCTGAGACCTAGGAACTCTTCAGATACAAGAGAAACTTGTCAAGAAAAGAGATAACCTTTCAGACCTTTTTTGTCTTGAGTAACCTTCCTTCGAATGCTCCTTTTTCAGAGAGAGAGAGTCCACGGTTTGTCATGCGGTTAATACGAAAAAAGGTCCACGGTTTGTCGTGCGTTTGATCGAAAAAACCAACGGACCTAATTTCCTAGAACTGCTGAGAGCACTATTCTTCCCTTCTTTTCTTATTGTGGTGAAAATTTTCGTTTTCAGCGAAGCATGTGACATATGAGAACGTTGAGCGTTGGCTCAAAGAACTTCGCGATCATGCTGATCAGAACATCGTGATTATGTTGGTTGGAAATAAAAGTGACCTCCGTCATCTGAGGGCTGTTCCAACTGACGAAGCGAAGATGTACGCGGAGAAGAATCAACTGTCTTTCATTGGTTGGTTTTTTTTGAATCATGGAATTGAACATAGAGTGAAAACATCTTACCGCTTCCCAAATAACCTGATTCATCTATGTGAAAGCTTGTTCAGTTTTAAATTTTATTTGAATAAGGCGCACGGAGTTGTAGCCATAGGTGAATTGTGGAACATTCCCTCGTAGTTAAGTGCTCCACATTCAAGGTAGTAGGCTTGAGGAGGGAAGAATCAGTGTCACATAAAGGTTGTTGTGTTTTCGTGCATGCAACCCTTCGCATCCGCCATCTTTCGACTTGTCACACAAAAGAATTAGAAGGAGGCAGCAGTTCAGAGCTCGTCATGCCTTTAACATTTCTTAATACGGCCCTGTCCTCCCTCCCCTTACCGTTTCTTGCAGCACATCAGGACTGCTCCCAAAACACGCTTGGAATGCGGCAAAACGAACTATGTGAACAGATGTTTAGAGAGAAGTGTTTAGCAGAATTTTCCTCTAACACCTGGAGGAACCAGGCTGCTTTCGTTGGAGAGATATTACAAGCGTTCTACATAATCCAACTATTTAATCTATCCTCTATATAATCCAACTTAGTTGAATTATGTAGAAGCGCTTGTATTGGCAAGGGCATCAATATTGTGGGCCCGATACGCATTGGTCCTACGACTAATGAGTAGAACCGGGCCAAGAATAGCTGTGAAGGATTTTTTAAGTGGATTATACCGATGGGACTGAATACCTCAACGAAAACTTGATTTTATAGATTCTAAGTTTCTATAAACTCTTTCGAATTTACGTTGGAAGTCAGATGCGTGCTATCCAGTATATGCTTGAGTTAGTAACACTTATAATTCATGTGCAGCCACATGCGAGCTGTGTAACTTTTGGGGAATGGTGACTTTTATGAAACGACAGCGCTCAGTGCGACGCTCATCGATTCGATTAGCCACTGGGTCGCGTCCTAGATATTTTAGATTTTCCTTGATGGCTATCTGCTCGAACGAAGGCCTGTTTGCAGTTGGTAAATTTTGCATTTGCCCACTGGTGGATGCAATGGATTGAATAGAAATGTTTGGAAATTGGGACTTTTGTTCAATTTGGATGCGAGCTATCCGCTGGTCAGAGTCGTGGCGGGTTCTGGAACAGTGCTGGACGTAATCGGTCAAGTTTTGAGATCTTGGGGCACGATATTGGTTACCTCACAACTATGATTAAGCTTTCTGGCTTCGCATGTCCTTAAGGGCTCCCTATTTGACAGAGCTCGTGGAAAGTGGATTACTTACCAGGGTGTACGCACCGTCCAAGGGTCAATTCCTGGATCGCAACCATTATACGTGCCATACTGCAGTCAGTATTAGGTTGTTCGAAAAGTAATGCGACACTTTGACC